TAGTAAACATAAACAACACCATCCCATCAGTTAACCGTTTACAAAGTAAACTTAATATAAATAAATTTTATGTGCAAACTATAAAATATAATATCTGAAGTGGCAAAATATTTTGTCTAATAATATTAATATTCCTAAATAGGTATCTCACAAAATAATAAGAGTCTACCATAATAAATCGATTACAAAATTAAAGTACAAAATCGATAGTGGCTGTATGGTACATTTGTCCTTTGTCTAGCAAGGCAAAAAAAAAAAAAAAATAATGTCAAAATTATAAATCAAATGGAAAATATTATGTATAGTTTTTACGGTCAATTTAGGGTACATTTATAAAAGTAAAAAACAATAAGTATTGTTAGCACAAATTATAAAGATGATTGTAATTAGATTATTACCATTAACATGCATAGCATAGATAAACCTACTAAATAAGTAAGACTCCTCTACTAACTAACTAAAGAGAAAACTAAGCATAAGCAAGTGATATACTAGACATGAAACATGATTAAATTCTATCTTGATTTACAAGGACAAACATTCCAAAGGAGTTTATTTTACAAGGAAAAGAAATTTAAAAAAAATTGCAATAAAACAGCTATTACAAGCGAACTACTCAAAAGTATAGGCATAATAGTGTTCTATGCTAAAGTTGAAATCAGAACCATGAAATGTACTTAATATTAAATATAAAAAAATTAAAGGATACCTAAGAATATAACAAGATAATTTAAATAAGCTACTTTTTAGCTATTAAACGGCGGGACCTTTTAGGATCCTCTTTCTGCCCCACCATACCATCTTGATTGCGCCGAGAAATCTCACACTGACTTTTTGAGCTTGAAGAACTTTGCTGGCTTTGAATGGGCTTCTTTGCAACATTAGTAACGCCACTATTAGAAGCTATGCCATGACTAACTGGTGAGCAATCACCAGGAAACTTTCCAATGAGATTATCAATCTCCTCTTCAGTGGAGATCTTTGCCCGTTCGTTATTGGGGAGTTTTATAAAAATTGTGCCATTGAAGGTCCACACATTCTTCAATCCAAAATGTTTGCATGCTTTTTTATGAACAGATTGCCTCATTTTGGTTAAAAACTCTGACACCGATATTTGGGAGCCCTTTAACTTAGTTCTAGCTTTCCACACCTCAGACTTTGTGCGGTGATCTTGAAATTGTACAAGAATTGGCCGTGAATGACCATCCTTATGAACACCAATTCGATGAGAACGTAAAAAGGATAAATTTGTTACATGTGGGATACCCATTTTATTATGTATGATGCCCAGTATTTCTTGTTCAATATTAAGTTCAGGAGAATCAGAGATCCCATTAAATAAGAGAATGTTCTGCCTATGCTGCATATCAATACTATCAATTGTCATAGTGCAGGCATGAATCTGTTGCCGAAGGAGAGTGAGTACAGAGCTAACAATGTCTTTGAATTCATAAAACTCCTCACGGAGTTGATTAAGAGAGGTATTACTTGGTGTAGAAGCAGCCTTTAATCTGTTTTCAAAATCAGCCATCTTGCGACTCCAGCTTCCTTCAAGTTCTCTCTGCAAGACCTCCACATCAGATACTTTTGCCATTGCTTGCAATATTTCAAGTGATATCAGTGAAGTGCCAGTGAGTGATATAGTTTGCAAAAAGAAGTTACACTGATGGGTGGTATGAGTAAGTCACAAATATTTTTATCTGGACATGTATTTCAATATGACTTCCAAAGAAAAGGTAATAAAAATGTAATTAGTATGTAAATATAGTCCAAACACTACTTTAAAATAATTTAAATGTAAATAAAATATAAGAGCAAATTAGACAGCTGTTACTTGTTGCACACCTACCCACGAAAAAACATTTTGTTGACGAAATATATTTTCAAATGACAAAAAATCAATAAAACTTTCACGCCACCAAATTAAAATTTAGAACACAGGTGGCCAGAGATACGAATTTAAAAATGACATATATATTTTTTAATTTTAACTTTTTAAATAGCAGTGGCTAGTTACTTATCATCCCGCCTACGTATTCTGAGCTCTTCTGAGTTTTTCCCGGATTATACTCACGGTCCTCCTCATTAGTGCTCTCTGTAGAGAGCAATTAATTATGGAGTCTGAGACAAAGCGAAGTTTTGTTATTATAGTATGTGCTTGGTAATGACCACAGAACAATCTTCACCAAATAATACCTATATAATCACTACAGACTCTACCGAGAGGTAACGAGTCACTGTTAGTGTCATTGCTTGTAACTGAGGTTAGTTCTGAGGGTTTGGTTACTTGGATAAAAATCATCATACTGGAGCCATTGGTTTTTAGCGTGTCCTTTTTTTGTCCGTTGTCAGTTGTAGGTATGCAGTAGTGTGCACCACTAGAGAAGTGATTATATTAGCTAGATTACCGATTAAATATAGCTGAAATGAAGTGAATGCGTTTTAATTGGTAATCAACTATTTAACATAACTTTTACACGGGAAATTGAACACTAATGTAAAATACAACCACAACACAAGCAAAACATATAAAGTAGTAGAGTTTGTTTAGGTAGTAGAGCCATGCTGCAGTTATATTAGTAATATATAAATTTTTCGATTTCTCAAACGTCATTTATATGTGGTAGAGCCATGCTGCAGGTATATTAGTAGTACAGTTGTAGCACGAATGGGTCGGCTCGACCGGGGAAGGACCACGCTCTCATAGAATACCAGCGTAAAATAGCAGCTTAACACTGCTGTGTTTGGTATGGTTAGTGTAGAGAAGCTGAGATCCTTTTTACTGGCATGACATGACATCCTTTTTAAGAAGCATTCCTTCTTAGTCCTCACGTGTGACAACGCATCAGCATTTTGATTCACAAACGAGGATAGATGTAGAAGTCTATGGGTAACAGCAGCTATTTACCATCAGGTGGACTCTGTGCTCGTATGTCATCCTATAAATTTTAACGCACCTCTATTGTAATTTTTTAGATTTTTATTATGTCAAACATTACATGTTTTTCTTAACTTAACATATAAAAATTAATATCTGTTTGTTCGTATTTTATGTGCTGTCAAACCGTTCATCAGTTTGCAGTAAAACTCTGCCTGACAAAATATATTATAAATATACAGGAGGCGTGTGCAGTTTTTAATAAAACAAGCTCTAACGTGACTGAATGACTGACGTACAGACAACCGAAACTGATGAGTCAAGGAGTTTTGACATTTGGAGTTAAAATTCCTTCAGTATCTCACAGGTGTGGCCGAATTAAACATTGGACGAGTGAGTGATACGAGTATTGTGGCAAAAGCCTAAAATACTGGTACCTATATTTGTTTAAGGCATTCGCGATTTTTGTGGGGGTAGAATATTACTAGATGGTCGTAGGGGTAGGTCATTTTAAAATTTAATTATTTTTTTAAAACGTCAAAATTCAATGTAACTACGCCATTGTTATGGTGTTCTTAACAAAAACCTTGAGGTTAAGGTGTTTCCGGAAAATCACCTCAGTGAAGTCTTTGAAGCCGTGTTATTAAATTATTTAAAACACTTACCCTGAGTAAATTGTATAACTTAGCTAACTAAAGCATTCAACTTAGCTTAGTAGCCTACCCACGTTTATTCTATTTTCAGGAGTTGCAAATTTAAGTTAAGGGCAGAAATAAGTTGTTAACAATATTAAACCCCTCAGTCCTTGCTAAGCCTTCAAAATACTTTACTGTATACAAGAAAGGATTAAGATGAAATGCTTCATTATATTCAAAGGGTATTCAATATAATCTCATATTAAGCATATCAGTGGAATGGATAGGCTTGGTCTTTCTGTTTGTAATTTTACTTGTGAGCGTATTATATTTTCCACACAGTTGATAACATTCAAAAATACTCTAACGAACATTGTTTGCTGTGACCTGGAGATTATAGAGTTTAGAAATTAGCTAGAAAGCTGTCTTTTTCGTTCGATGATATATTGCTTTTTTTAAAACATTACCCGTACTAGGAATTTCTCCTGTATATTGGAGACAGTTTACATACAAAAAATGCACAAAGCCAAACATCTAACCCCGGAACAAATATTTGAAGGCCATTTAAAACGCGTGGGATTCGAAGCCACGGCTCTCTGCGTCGCAAATAAAAACCAAGATACTGCACCACGGAGCTGTAAAATTCATGGTCTAAATTTTTTTTTAGTTTATTTATCAGATCAAAAGAAGAGAATACATGTATAGGTCTAATTAACATCTAAAAACCACGGAGGTTTGACTTGATGCTAAATAATTTAGTTTAAGTCAGCATATTATGTGCAAGACACAGTCTAAGTAAGTTGTTAGGTATGTGAGTAGTTAGTATGTATAGTAAGAATATAAAGACTAAGAAGGTAGATAGATAAGATAAGATAAGATAAGATAAGATAACTTTATTAATATACAGAGATTGTAGTACATTGGTGTGACATTACATTGTTTGTACTATCTATAAAATATATCCTTAAATCTATTGTTTTTGTTAAGTAAGTAGATATAGTAGGCAATTATAATTTTGATATGAAAAAGCTTTTGAGTTTAGTTTTAATGTTTTTTTGTGAAATTTTTTTGATACTTTTATGAGGTGTTAATGTAAACTTGAGATGGTTTTTAACATAGGCAATGATACCGCCTCCCCGTTGCGTAGATCGCAATTGGTAGTACATATTATAACCCGGTAAATTAAAAAGGTTAACAATCATATCTGTTATGCCAACTTCTGTTAGAATAATTAAGTCTATGGGGTATTTGGAACTATGAATAACTTGTTGAAGCTTCGTAAAACTCTTTATGAGTGATCTTATATTAAAATGTAGGCTAGTAAGTAATGCATGACGTTATGGGGGTAATTGTTGTAAATAGTTATTTATATCGTTACAGTTAACAAATTCTTTAATTTTAATAGTCATAGTAAAGTTTTAGAAGTAGTTAATAAGTAGGTAGGTAGGTATATTCGATCAATGGAAAACAAAAGGTAAAAAATATGATTACAAGGTTTTCGAGCTATCTAATTGTTTTAGGAGTAATTCAATATCATTACCTGTACAAATATAGTAAATTTTAGTATTAGGACCTTTCCTGACAAGTACTTTACCGTCCTTACACCAAATATATTGGACTATTTTACTAAATTTCGCTTTGGTGTTATATAGTAGAGTTTTTAAATACTTAGTAAGAGCCTCCCTGATGTACACTCGCTGTTCAGCTACTTCCTTCGGCGAGTTTGGTAGGATAGTTCCCACGGAGAGACATTTCTCTTTAACAGCTTTAATCCATTGTTTTTGGGCTGCCTTTGTTTTCATTTCAACGAGGATTGGATTAGGGCGGTCCTTAGAGCTCGGCAAGCGTTGCGAAGATTGAATGTCGCTCACCTTAGTATTTAGTTCTGAAGCCAGCGTTTCTAGGACTTTATTAACGTCTTTGAGGGAAGCCTCAGGAATGCCTGCGATTTCTACCATATTTGATAAAGATTTCTGCTGATACGTTTTTATTTCTTGCTCTACTATGCTCACTCTAAGTTCAAGGTTTTTGTTCTTATTTTGTAGGTCTTGGTTTTTATTTTCGAGTTCTTTTATTTTGTTATCGTATTTTTTTAGGGTTTGATCAATAGTACTCAGCTGATCACCCAGGAAATCAATTGAAGTTTCTAGATTAACGATTTCTTCCCGGAACGTTTTCTTTAACTCCTGACTCAAGTCCCTGATAAGCTTCTGGGTGTCAATCTGGGTATTCAAAGAATTCACAACCACGGAGTCATCGTCATCAGCCTCTTCGTGTGGAGTGAAAAAGGAAGACGTACGCGAAACGTTTTTTTCATACATTCCTCGCAGCTCCACACGATTTTCGGCGAATTACGTAGAGTATTAATCTGTTTATTAGACAGCTTGGCGCAGGACGGATCCGAATGGACAGTAATGTTGCAACTGCTACATACCCGACCCGGCGCTTTTTTGGTAATATTTTTCTTACAGTTAGCATAAAACTACTTACCTCTCAAAACTAAGCAGACGCTTCTTCATTCTCTTAATTTACCCATCTATGATTATGCACATTGATATCGCTTATATCTAACACGATTTCCAAGCAAGATGGAATAACTTTTCATGATAGGATGTTGATAAAATCCCTAATCGCAAATAAGCTCTTTGTAAATACTCATTATTATAAGTATTTAAATCATCATTCGTCATCATCATTACATAGGCCTCCCCCAGGAATGCCTCAAAGAACGGTCCCGAGCCACCTGCATCCATCGACTTCCTGCATGTCTAACCAGGTCGTCACTCCATCTAGAGGGGAGTCGCCCTACCCTTCGCCTACCGGTACGAGGCTGCCACTCGAGAACTTTTTTCCCACATCGGTTGTCGGTTCTTCGCGCTATATGGCCGGCCCACTGCCATAAGTCATCACCGGCAACACGCACTGGTTGTACAATCTAACATAATCTACAAGTACTTAGGTACATAAAGGAGACATTTTACTAGTATTACTTATCCAGACTTATTTCCTTCCGATGTTCCCAAGGGGTCTTTTCTAAGTATACGCTTTGCAAGTTAAGGAAATTGAATTTTTTAAGCGTTTGCCCGTTTAGAGCTTATATCGGATGAAAGTAAATGAGTATTTAGTTTAACAAAACATATTTTAAAAGAAATATTCCATGCGTCCATCTATTACAGCCCATTAAAGTCCTCTATTGAATGTACGACTCCTTCATAGATTCTCTCTTAAAGGAGATTTTGCCATAGCTACCACACTTGAGGATGCTTGAGGATGCTGCCACTACATGCGAAAGAGCAATATTACTCGTAAAAGATTTTCTCACCCAGTCCGCAATTTCTCAAATCAAGCGGTTATTTACCGCGGACGTGTGAAGTCCGTCGTGTATTTTTCAGTATATGGTGTTTTAATCTTATTTAGGGACCTTTATTACACGTATATTACTATTAATATTATTTTTTGTTGAATTGTTATTGTAATACAGTTTACATTCAACACTCTGTCCTCTTACTGGTGTAGTACTCGTATTACATTCAAGTGCGTTAAAAGCGTGTTTCGCTTCAAACCTCTAGAGAAATCTATTTAAAGTATTCTGTAATATCACCTCACTCTACAATTCGCTGGCACAAGTATATTGGATTTTATTATAGTATATCTTATCATAAAATAGTCACTATGAATTTAATTTATATTTTAATGTTTTTACAGACGGATTAATGAAATTTTTAAATGGATATTTTTTAATATAACAGTTAAATTAAAGTTGTTCACTATGTAGAGGTGGCGTAAGTGCATTCATCGCCGCATATCATCCCGTGAGTGTCGTGAGTGGTGACTAATTGAAATGAAACAGAAGATGGGCAGTAGCATCTTCAAATATATAATAAAAGATAATAAAAAACTGTGCCTACCAATCTACGCATCAAGCGTAGTATGTAGCGAATATCATCCCCATGAGGCAATCTATGGGAACGCCTATGTTCATCACTAAACATTTGATAGGCTGAAACAAATGAATGTAACAAATAGTTGATATTACATTGTAGATATTTCTTTTATTAATTTTAATTTTCTATATGATAGTAATGTACTATTATTAAAGGAAATGAAATGAAACTTATGTCAAAGCTTTTTTAGAAATTTCTACAATAACTCGGTAGTTTCAGATGGAAGTTTCTATTTCTGTTTTATTGAAATAGGTAACATACAGCTTTTTTTAATATCATATTTTATTGTACAATAATATCGACTGTGTCTGTAGCCTTAGCAACTCAGACCTGGATGCACTTGTATCATTGTCACTTGGAACAAATTTCCGAAAGTTGCCTTATAAAATATGCGCGAGTGATGTGCGAATGTGTTCCAAGTTCATAAAATGAACCATAAAGATCACCTGGGCGTTGTTTTAATTGAAATTTTATTCAAATGGAGTGTGACTGTCGGAGTTCTATATTTTACATCGAAAGTTATCTTAGGAACGTATAATTAATCTGGACTGTAAACTTACGCTCTACCTTTATCATGCTTAAATAAGGATTGAGATATTTCAGTGTGCAAATTGAACTTTGATCTTGTGGAAAGCTGTCTAATCAATTCCAGTAATTGGTTTCGTTGTTATTATATAGTGGAGACTTCGCAATAAACACGGAGTCTTTATTCGTAGTGCTCATTTTGTTTATAGAATATAATAATATATAGAATATAGATTTTTCCTAAGGAATTTATACTTTAAGTTATTCTGGCTTAAGATTAAAAAAAATCGTATTTTGTAAAATCAATGAAATAACACTTAAAGATTTATTAATAATAAAAATAACGTATACTTCTGTAACTTCTGTCGAGACAATAGTTAAGAACTACGCCAAGGATGCGATAGGTGAAGTTACAATCAAATTATAAACAAATTCTACGGACTATATGACTCATATTCACAAATATTTTTGTTTAGTCAAAACCACAATCGTATTAATAATGTTTATTTTAAATAAAGGACTTGGAATAAATAATCTTACATGTTATTGAAATTATATTGTAATCTGTTAAATGATAATGTAGTAAGCACATATTTTTTGCTTCAAAGTAAATTCAAGCCTCAAAGTATAGAAAGCTAAAGAACACATAAGCCTGTCAGAAGCCAGGCAGGCTGCTATCAAAAAAGCCTGCGGTTAATTTCTCTACAGTCTCAAAACAAAAATGTGAACTTTTATAATAATAAAAGACTAGAGTAGGCAGTTAAAATGACGTACTTATTTTTATGAAAGCATATTTTTGATAATAATTAACAAAAATATAAAGGCAACATTTTCTAAATACTTGTATGTATACATAACATACGCACCTCCGCTCAAATAGTGTCATAACTCAAAAACATCAAAAACTTTTTTTATTGTTTCCTTGGGTTCAGAATACTTCAAAGTTTCATATCAAAGAGTGTCTTAACTAGTGGGTTTACTATTTGTCGCTAGATGGTATTAGTGTCATTATAATGTTGACCGAAACTAATAGCATATCGAACTTAAACAGTGTCATATCATGACTTGCGCGAGGTGCTCGTGTATCTAAATATTGTATAAAGTGTTGTTTGTCGATATATGACGGTATATGCGATTGATCAAAAAGAAATAATCTTTAAATTTATTTAATTAAAGTGCACTGTCTCGACATAAGACAGTTTATGGGATTAGGGTGAGTAAATATTACTATACTTTTTGCAATAAAACTGATCTGTGTCTAGTTATGACGATATATGTGATTAAGTTGCGCCAAAAATCATATTACTTTTACAAAAAGTTCTCTAAGTCATGTTATGACGTTATATGTGATTAATTTGAGTTGTAAATCATATTATTTTTACAATAAAAGTGCTCTGTGTCTAGTTATAACATTACATGCGATTGGGATTATTTAAAAAAACAAAATTATTATTTAGAATAAGTGCACTGTGTATGATTTAAGACAATATACATCATTAAATGAAGCTAAAATTACTGTATTGTATCCAGTTACGATAGTGTACTTGATTAAAGTTAGTCTTAAAATAATTGGTGTTGCAATCTAATCTAACCAATATTAGGTATTGTAAAGAGGTACTTTATTATATTGTTTATGTATCTAGTTGAATAAAGATATCATGTATTCTTATTTACTAATTTAAGGTTTTTTGTCATTAGGTGGATGTAACTGCGAGTACATGCAATGTCAAGATCAAGTAAATTATTGGCTCTTTGCTTGAAGGCAAACGAACAGCATAGTCAAGAAGCAAATGAATCGATTTTCGTACCAATAAGTAATTCAGAACCACTGAAACATACCTTAAACACGGAAAATATTTTGAATTTAACTTCCACACATATAAATGATTTGCCTGAACAGTGTAATAAGGAAAACGTAGAACATAACATGCAAGATTTAACTGAGGGTGAAGAAACAGATGATTCTGTTAAAGATCCAAATTACAAAGCAACACGTAGAAAGAGTAAGAAAAATAACGTCGTTCCTCGTAGTCGATCATCGTCATCGACTAGTACTTCGAGTTCTTCATCAACTAACTCAAGTTCTTCATCATCCAGCTCAAGTTCATCCTCAACCAACTTGTCACCTTTGCCACCTACTGCAAAATCAAGTGAAAACAATCGCGACCGTCCATCAACCTCACAAGAACCTAATATAGATATAACACAAGAAACAACGCCTACACGTAAGAAACGGCGTGCTGAAGAGCAATGGAAACAAAATGTTACTAAAATGCTACGAAATTCGGGATTGCATTATCGAACAAAATCTGGACGATCTATTCCTAAAAAAAGTATGAGGGAGGGTTGCGGAGAACGTTGTAGACTGAAATGCCTTCTTTTCTTGCCGACGAATTAAGGCTACAACTGTTTAATTCTTATTGGGCTTTGCAAAATTTAGAGAAACAGAGACAATTTATACATAAACATTTAAAACCAATAGAAGTTAAGTATCGTTATACCAAAGCACAAAAACCTCGAAAAAATAATTATGCTTTCTACTTTATGGTTGAAGGTTCAATGAAAAAGATCTGCAAAACTATGTTTAAAAATACTCTTGGCATTAATGATAGAACGATCAGAACTGTAATAGAGAAATCAATTGGTGGTTTTCTAAAAGATGATCAGAGAGGAAAACATAATAAACATTATACTGTAGACGAAACTATTAAAAATGAAATCAGGGATCATATAAAACGGATACCAAAGATCGAAAGCCATTATTTGCGGGCACAAACTACACGGGAGTACATTTATGGAGGGAAGACCATTGCAGACTTACATAGGGATTCTATGAAACAGTGTAAACAAGA